CGGGGTGGGCGGAGGGGTCCAGCTGGTGGGGGGCGGGGGGTTTCGTCTTACCCGGGGTGGGCTGTGGTGTCCAGCCAGTGGGGGGAGGGGTCTCTCGTTACCCGGGGTGGGCGGTGGGATCCAGCCGGCGGGGGGAGGGGTCTCTCTTACCCGGGGTGGGTGGTGGGATCCAGCCAGTGGGGGGAGGGGTCTCTCTTACCCGGGGTGGGCGGTGGGATCCAGCCGGCGCTGCAGAGCTGTCAAGGCCTCCTTGAGGAAGTCGATGCGTCTCTGCTCGAACTCTTGGCCCTGCTCGAAGACCGACTCCATCTCCTCCACATAGCGCGGGCTGGCCCGGGTCAGCTCCGCCAGCGCCTGCTCGTAGTGCTGCCGCTCCTGGGGGGCAGGAGCGTCAGGGGGGCTCCGGGGGCGGGGCAGCCCCAAGGCCAGGAGAAGAAAGGGCCTCCCCTGGACCCATTCAGCAGGGGCGGGGGTGGGGGGAGCCCAGCAGTCTGGACAAACGAGGAGTGGGGGGTGGGGGGGTTCGTTAACCAGGCGTGGGAATTTTCTGCCATCAGTTGGAGGAACACGGCGCGTGCCTCGGTTTCCCCTATGAGTTGCACTGTGCCCTGCAGGTGGCACAGGGCTGGTTACTCCCCGCGGAGGCCCAGAGATGCAGCTGCGACCCGCGCCGGCTGTCTGGGGCCTGGGCCTGGCCCCGGAGACCCATCACCTGGACATTGGTGACCCGGCAACTAATGGCCATGAAGGGCCCCCCCCCCTTGCAGGAGCCCGGCTGCATCCGACCAGCCAGGGAGCAAAGGGGGGGGTGGCGCCCCCGAGCTGGGACAGGGACCGAGCAGGAGCCAGGGGGTCACCGCTGGGCCAGGCTCCGGGGCACCAGAGCGGGCCAGGGGGTTACTCCTCGCTTTGCTACCCAAGGAGCGTCCGTCCGTCCTGCCGGCTGGGCGGCACAGGAGGGGGCGGGGTGCCCCCCGGGGGTACAGGGCTCTCTCGGGGAGTCTGTCGCTGGCGGGGGGCAGCCGTGGGGCTGACCCTGGCGGAAGAGCAGGACCCCTGGGGGTCCAGCCCATGGAGGGGGGCCTCCCCGAGGCTGTTCCAAGGCTGGATCCGGTGCCGGGGAGAGGGGTCCGCGGCCGGGCACGCCCACCTTGTGCGTCTCCAGGGTGTGGCGCTGGCGCTCCTCCCGGAGGGCGCGCTGGCGGTCGGGGGCCAGGGGGGGGGCCCCCGGGGCCAGCTGCTCCCGCCCCGCGGCCGCGTGCTCCTTACGGCAAGCCCGGTGGTACGAGGCTTTGGCCTTCTCCACCTGGGGGAGGGGCAAAACCAGGGGCTGCAAGCGGGGCTGGGACCCCCAGGGCCCCTGACCCCCCCCCCACTCCGCAGCCCCACTGACTCCCACCCCATGGACCCCAGTGATCCCCCCACAACCCTCCCTGATCCCCATAACCCTCCGCGGCAACCTCCACCCAGTGCCCCCTGTGCAGCGCCCCCCACTCTGATTGCACCCCCCATATACTGGGCCCCAATGCGCCCCCCCGGACCCGCCTCCCAGGAGCGCCCCACCCCCTGCCCTGTGCCCCCCAGGCAGCACCCCCCAGCGTGGCGCCCCACCCCCTGCCCCCATGCATTGCCCCCCATGCGGCCCCCCGGGCAGCCCCCACCTTGCCCAGGCGGCGGGCCCAGGGTTTCTGGGCGCGCCGGAAGCCGCTCTCCAGCTCGCGGGCCTCGCGGAAGCCGCCCAGCAGCTTACGGTGGTAGTTGTCCCGCTGCCAGCCCCGCAGGCGGGCGAGCTCCTCCACCACCAGCGCCCGCTGCGTGTCCTGGTGCAGCCGGCCCAGCCGCTCCGTGGTGTCCAGGAAGGCCTGCCAGGCCCGGCGCACTGAGCCGTACAGGGGGCCTGCGGGAGAGCCGAGATGGGGGCGCCGGGCTCCAGGGGGTGGGGCGGGGGGCTTGGTGGGGGGCGCTGCACTGTGGGGGAGTGGGGTGGGGGGCTCTGTAGGGGGCGCCAGGCTGCAGGGGGGTGGGGCAGGGGGCTCTGTAGGGGGCACTGCGCTGTAGGAGGGTGGGGCGGGGGGCTCTGTAGGGGGCACTGCGCTGTAGGAGGGTGGGGCGGGGGGCTCGGTCTGGGGCGCCGGGCTGCAGGGGCGTGGGGCAGGGGGCTCTGTAGGGGGCA